GGTCTCCGGGACGCCGAGTGCTGAAACTCAAGGGGGCTGAAAGGAGCGAGTCTAACCTCTGGTCATAGAGACTCTCACAGACGTGTTCAGATCCCACTCTCCCTTAGCAGGGAAAGGCGTGGGGGGCTTACCCAAAGGCAGGCTAGGGGGGTTGGCCTGCAGGTCCAGCGTGGGGGCCCCGTGGCTTGGGGGACGCGGTCCGCAGTTGCTCAGCTTCAGGTTGGGGGAATTGGAGGAATTAGGCAGCTCTGAAGCCTTGGGCTTGGCCGTGAGGTTCAGCGGTTGGGAGGGTTCCTGAGGGAGATGCTGAGGGTCAGCAACACCAGAGGGGCCAGGGGCACGTGGGCCAGAGCGGGGCGGAGGAGGCAAGGAGGCGGGAAACCAGGGCAGAAGTACGGGAGCACAAAGGACCCCCATCCCTGAGGGGCGGCCGGCCCCTGAGGGCCAGGGCACCCGCCGGTGGGGGGCGGTACCTGCAGGGGGTGGTGGGCTGACAAGGCCCCAGGCCTCTTCACCACTGGGGCCGGGGGGCTGTGCAGGAGCTGCAGCGGATACTCCACTATGGAAAAGGCGGCAAGGAGAAAAGCCCTGGATGAGCACAGAACAGCAGACACCCTGCTTGACGAGGCCCCAGCAGCGCAAAGCGGGCAGAGGCTCAGAGCGGCCCAGCTGGCTTCCAATTGCTGCCTCCCAGCCAGTGCTGCTGAGGCCTCCTGGCCACCCCACCCACCCCCACCCCACCCCCTGTGTCTTCACCCTGTTCTTGCCCTTCCCAACCCACTGGCTATAGAGTTCCCCCCCAAAGGCAAGATGAGCTCTACTCCTTCTACAGATTTTGTACCTACTACAGGCAGGGTGGGTTTCCCAGGTGGCGATAGTGGTAAAGAGCCTGCCTGCCAGTGCAGGAGACTTAAGAGAGGCAGGTTCAATCCCTGGATTGGGCAGATCCCCTGGACAAGGGCATGGCAACCCACTCCAGTGTTCTTGCCTGGAATCGCATGGAGAGAGGAGCCTGGCGAGCTACAGTCCATAGGGTCGCAGAGCTGGACACAACTGAAGTGATTTAGCATACATGCATACACATGCAGGGTACAAAAGCAGCTACCTGGTTTGTAGTCTGTCTTATGTGCATTATCAAGATAATCCCTAGTGTGTGGCATATGAATAGATACTCAGTTTACATCATCCCATTTTACAGATAAGGAAACTGAGACCAGGAGAAATGGCACGGGGGCCCATACAGCTAATGAATGGGAGCACTGAGATCTGCACCCAGACCTTCCCCTATACAGGCTCGAGCTCTCTTCTACGTAGCTGGGCTCATTCTCCCTCAAGTAGGCCCAGCCTCACTGACTTGACAATTGAGATGGAGAGATGAGCCATGAAGATAAGCCACTGCCGACAAGATCGGTGGTGATACGGGCTGTGTGCGTGGCATGCCAGAGAACTCTGCTCACCTGGGGGGACCGGAGCAGGCCTCCCAGGGGGAGGGGAGGTGTCAGTGGGTGGGCAGGTGCAGTGGAGGCGGGCGGGTGCCAAAGCAGAAGGTGGGAAGTGAGGGCGGCATGCCGTGGATCAGCGGGGCTCGCGGCCTGTGACGGCCGAGCCTGGGAGTTTGGACCCTGTCCTATGGGCTGTGGGCACCACTAACGCTCGCAACCTGGCAGCGCAGCTGGCAGTCACAGGGCTCCCTGCCCACTAGGATCTGGGAGTAGATAAAGCAGGTGATAGCCTGGCCAGCACAGGTCTCCCAAAACTTATTTCCTGTCGCCCTTGCCTGCGCGGCTGTGGACCCATCCCTGCACAGGCGCCTGCCCTCCTCAGCCCTGCAGCTCGGCCCCATGAACACCTGGAGGTGCTGTGGTTTTGTGCAACCCGCCCTCCCCTTCACCCCATACCACCCCCAGTTCCCATGCCTTCACCCCAGGAAGCTGCCCTCAAAGCAGGGTCTGACTTTCCAGGCCTTTATGTTTTCCCTGCCTCCACCCTGAGTCAGGGGGGCTGACCCAGGAACTGTGGCCACAGCCCAGAAGCCTTACTGCTGGACCCACACTGGATTTCCTCTGCTGTCTCTCACGTGGAACGGGAACATCACCAAAGGGAGCTGTTCTCCAGCTGACTAAAACCTGATCCCCTCCTGGACCAGGGATGGCAGCGCCTCTGCCTGCCCCCAGGGCCACTCACAAGGACTCCGTGCTCACAGCTCCCTCGCTGCCTCAATCCCACGCTTGCTGCCTTCATTCGGGCTGTCACCCCCATCTCAAGCATCCCCCCAACAGCCCCCGACCCAGTCTCAACTCCACCTGGTACCCGCCCTGTTCCCCACCACCCACAGCCAGTGTGACAACGCGGCCTCTACTGAAATGTCCGGGTGCAACCCACATCCTACAGATAAACTCCAGAGTCTACACTCAGGCCTGCCGCCGGCCCACTCTGACACCCCACTGGGCTTCCGGCCCCAGGATCCAGGCCCCGGCCCTCCACCCTCAGTTCCCAGCTTCATCCTCACAAGTCCGCACCCCCAGGACCCAAGTGAGCACCGCAAGAAGCCCTCCCAGACTCCCTGGCTGTTGGTACTCTGCTGTCTCAGCTCAGAGTCCACATTTTATCACCTCATGGCTGCCTAGCAACTCGTCAGCACCAGACACACGGCTGGCGCTCTGCTCTGCGGTCACCGAGTCCCGTGACAGGGCAGAGCAGAGCAGAAGTGTGAATTAGGGAGATGTATAAATCAGTTAACGTTCGAGTACTGATATTCTCGTACAGGAAGTGTCCCAGAACTGGAGACCAGACCTAGATTGGCAACATCCTTAGTCTGGAAAGCACTTTATGGCTATGTGCTCTTTCTTTTCATTCTCCCAGGGAAATTCAGAAAGAAGGGATTATTTTTCAACTAGACAGACCCCAAACCGAGACCCAGAAAGGTGACACTGCAAACTGACAGACAACAGCAGTTCCCGGGCTCCCTCCCACACTCACCTGGCTTGCAGGGGATAGGCTGAATGGGCAGGGCCAGCTGGGAGTCGGGGGTAACAGGCAGAGGTTGGTGGCTTGGGGGGAAGGCTGGAATCATGACGTAAGGCATGTTGACCTGCTGAGGGCAAAGAAGCACTGGGTAAGTCCTGAGGGTCCCAACCAGCTAAACCCAGCTGTGTCAGCCCTGGACACAGAGGGTGGGCCCGGGAAGAGAGGGCAGTTGTCAAAAGGATCCATCTGACCCCACACCCGCTCCACGGGCCCCTGTCTGCTCCCTCAGATCCCAGCTGGGAGGAAGGTATTCTGGGCCCTGCCCTTGACATGGGGACAAAACCAAGCGAAGGGGCAGAGCAGACACGGGCCTCCCTGCCTGGGGCCATGCCTGAGTGGTTCTGCTCCATCCACAGCCGCTGGCTTTCCCCGTTCACAGCACGTCTGCACACTGGCGTCCACCCCGCAACCTCCAGCTCTCCCAGGGCCCAGCCCTCACTGCTTTTACCTGGATCTGCTGCTGAAGGAGGTTGATCTTATGCTGCTGCTGAATCAGCTGTTGCTGCTGCTTAGCAATCTGGCAGAAGGAAAGAGTAGGCAATGGGAGCGCGGACATTAGGCCCCAGGATCCCACTTCCCATAAGCCTTTGCAGCCCCATCCATAGCCTGCCTTCCACACCAGTGGACGGACAGGCAGGATAGCTGGACAGGATAAGAAGCCAGCCAGCTGGCCAGCCCTCCGGATTTACTCTCCCTTTGCAGAGAGCTCACCCTTCTCTTAGAGACCAGGAAGCAGCTGGTTGCTTTCGCTCAGAGCCCCCCAGCACCCTCTACCCTGGTCCTCTTGCAAGGACTGAAGCACTCCCAGAGGTGGGAAGCCCAGCCCCTTCCTGTGGCCCCCTCCCCACCCGCCTGTGGCCTCGGCCTGCGCCAGCCAGGCCTGCCCCACGCTCCCCATGGTGCCCGCCCTGGAAAGCAGGGCCCCCCACACTCCCTGCTGTGCTCTGAAGGTGCCCATCCCCGGGAGGAGGGCCCCCCACACTCCCCGCTGTGCCTGAAGGTGCCCACCCCCGGGAGCAGGGCCCCCACACTCCCCGCCATGCCTGAAGGTGCCCACCCCGGGGAGCAGGGCCCCCACACTCCCCACCATGCGTGAAGGTGCCCACCCCCGGGAGCAGGGCCCCCCACACTCCCCGCTGTGCCTGAAGGTGCCCACCCCTGGGAGCAGGGCCCCCACACTCCCCGCCATGCCTGAAGGTGCCCACCCCGGGGAGCAGGGCCCCCACACTCCCCACCATGCGTGAAGGTGCCCACCCCCGGGAGCAGGGCCCCCCACACTCCCCGCCATGCGTGAAGGTGCCCACCCCCGGGAGCAGGGTCCCCCACACTCCCCGCCGTGCCTGAAGGTGCCCACCCCCGGGAGCAGGGCCCCCACACTCCCCACCATGCGTGAAGGTGCCCACCCCCGGGAGCAGGGTCCCCCACACTCCCCGCCGTGCCTGAAGGTGCCCACCCCCGGGACCAGGGCCCCCCACACTCCCCACCATGCGTGAAGGTGCCCACTCCGGTGAGCAGGGCCCCCACACTCCCCGCCGTGCCTGAAGGTGCCCACCCTGGGGAGCAGGGCCCCCCACACTCCCCACCATGCGTGAAGGTGCCCACCCCCGGGAGCAGGGCCCCCACACTCCCCGCTGTGCCTGAAGGTGCCCACCCCGGGGAGCAGGGCCCACCTGCTCCTGCTGCTGCCGGGCCAGCTCCATCTGCTGCTGCTGCTTCTCCAGGAGCATCGCAGCCATGTTCTTCTGCTCCGAGTGCGCAGTCAGGAGCTGGTCCCGCAGAGCGGACAGCTGGTGGATCATGACCAGAAGCTGCAGCTCCTTCTCTGCCAGGCTCTCCTTGGTCCCTGCTCCACAGGGAAACAGCCACTATTGACAATTTTTGTCTGTTCATCTGTCCACCAGTTCACCTGTAGGACACTGAGCAATTGCTATCCCCCAGGCCCCTGCCAGGGACTGGACCGCAGAGAAGACTGGAGCATGATCCAGGGACTGGACTGCAGAGAAGGCTGGAGCATGATCCTTGCCCCGGAGCAGGCTCCTCATCCAGCCAGCTGACCACTAGCCGCTCTGGAAGCTCCCCACTATCAGCTGCTCTTCCAGGCCCTGGAAATGCTGATGGTGGGACGTCTCAGGCCTGGCCCACCCCTGGGGTATCCTCAAGAGCCCAGCGCCACCGAGCCAGGTGGATAACTGTGCCATGGGAGAGTCCAGGGGGACACATGCAGGCTTTGCAGCAAGATAGATCTGGGTTCAAATTCCCCTATTAACACATTCCTCCCGGGAGCTGTTGGGGAAGTGACCAACTTCTCTGCACTTTATAATTTTTTGAATCTATAAATGAGCACTGTGATCGTCACCTCACAGGGCTGCTGTGAGGTGTAACAGGTATTGAGGGTAACAGGTGTGAGGGTAACAGGAACTGAATGTAAAGCTTAGTCCGGATCTGGATCATGGTACCAGCTTAGCGGATCTGGTACATGGTCCTCAACTAGCCATGTCTAACTTGTCTCCAATGCAACTCATCAGGTGCAGCAGTTACTCCTAAGTGCCAGGATACAGACCATTTGCATCAGAATTACTCAGGGAGCAGTTGAAATATACAGATGCCTAGGCTCCTATCCTCTGTGGGTCTCAGTCAGTAGGTGGGGGTTGAACCTGGGGATCTGCATTATTTTAAAGTTTCCTCTGAGAAAAATCAGACTGATTATATTCTTTGTAGCCAAAGATGGAGAAGCTCTATACAGTCAGCAAAAACAATACGGGGAGCTGACTGTGGCTCAGATCATGAACTCCTTATTGCCAGATTCAGAGTTAAATTGAAGAAAGTGGGGAAAACCACTAGACCATTCAGGTATGACCTACATCAAATCCCCTATGATTATACAGTGGAAGTGAGAAATAGATTTAAGGGACTAGATCTAATAGACAGAGTGCCTGATGAACTATGGACAGAGGTTCCTGACATTATACAGGAGACAGGGATTAATACCATCCCTCAAAAATTAAGAAATGCAAAAAAGCAAAATGGCTGTCTGAGGAGGCCTTACAAATAGCTGTGAAAAGAAGAGATGCAAAAAGCAAAGGAGAAAAGGAAAGATATACCCATTTGAATGCAGAGTTCCAAAGAATAGCAAGGACAGATAGGAAAGCCTTCCTCAGCAATCAATGCAAAGAAATAGAGGAAAACAATAGAACAGGAAAGACTAGAGATCTCTTCAAGAAAATCAGAGATACCAAGGGACCATTTCATGCAAGGATGGGCTCAATAAAGGACAGAAATGGTATGGACCTAAGAGAAGCAGAAGATATTAAGAGGTGGCAAGAATACACAGAAGAACTATACAAAAAAGATCTTCACAACCCAGATAATCATGATGGTGTGATCACTCACCTAGAGCCAGACATCCTGGAATGTGAAGTCAAGTGGGCCTTAGGAAGCATCACTACGAACAAAGCTAGTGGAGGTGATGGAATTTCAGGTGAGCAATTTCAAATCCTGAAAGATGATGCTGTGAAAGTGCTGCACTCGATATGTCATCAAATTTGGAAAACTCAGCAGTGGCCACAGGACTGGAAAAGGTCAGTTTTCATTCCAATCCCATAGAAAGGCAATGCCAAAGACTGCTCAAACTACTGCACAATTGCACTCATCTCACACGCTAGTAAAGTAATGCTTAAAATTCTCCTAGCTAGGCTTCAGCAAAACGTGAACTATGAACTTCCAGATGTTCAAGCTGGTTTTAGAAAAGGCAGAGGAACCAGAGATCAAATTGCCAACATCTGCTGGATGATCGAAAAAGCAAGAGAGTTCCAGAAAAACATCTATTTCTGCTTTATTGACTATGCCAAAGCCTTTGACTGTGTGGATCACAATAAACTGTGGAAAATTCTTAAAGAGATGGGGATACCAGACCACCTGACCTGCCTCTTGAGAAACCTGTATGCAGGTCAGGAAGCAACAGTTACAACTGGACATGGAACAACAGACTGGTTCCAAACAGGAAAAGGAGTATGTCAAGGCTGTATATTGTCACCCTGCTTATTTAACTTATATGCAGAGTACAGCATGAGAACACTGGGCTGGAAGAAGCACAAGCTGGAATCAAGATTGCCGGGAGAAGTATCAGATATGCAGATATGCAGATATGCAGATGACACCACCCTGATGGCAGAAAGTGAAGAAGAACTAAAGAGCCTCTTGATGAAAGTGAAAGAGGAGAGTGAAAAAGCTGGCTTAAAGCTCAACATTCAGAAAACTAAGATCACGGCATCCGGTCCCATCACTTCATGGAAAATAGATGAGGAAACAGTGGAAACAGTGGCTGACTATTTTTCTGGGCTCCAAAATCACTGCAGATGGTGAGTGCAGCCATGAAATTAAAAGACACTTACTCCTTGGAAGGAAAGTTATGACCAACCTAGACAGCATATTAAAAAGCAGAGACATTACTTTGCCAACAAAGGTCCATCTAGTGAAGGCTATGGTTTTTTCAATGGTCATGTATGAATGTGAGTGTTGGACTATAAAGAAAGCTGAGTGCAGAAGAATTGATGCTTTTGAATTGTGGTGTTGGAGAAGACTCTTGAGAGTCCCTTGGACTGCAAGAAGATCCAACCAGTCCATCCTAAAGGAGACCAGTCCTGGGTATTCATTGGAAGGACTGATGCTGAAGCTGAAACTCCAATACTTTGGCCACCTGATGCGAAGAGCTGACTCTTTTGAAAAGACCCTGATGTTGGGAAAGACTGAAGGCAGGAGGAGAAGGGATGACAGAGGATGAGATGGTTGGATGGCATTACCGACTCAATGGATATGAGTTTGAGTAACCTCTGGGAGTTGGTGATGGACAGGGAGGCCTGATGTGCTGCAGTTCATGGGGTCGCAAAGAGTCAGACATGACTGAGTGATTGAAGTGAACTGAACTCCAAAAATTAAACCACCACACTGGGAGTGAACCTAAGCAAACACACTTTAATGTACTGACTGAATCCTGATGGCCTAGAATTAATTTCCAGCAGTGAGAGGGAACATTCATTTTATAGTGAGATATGGGAAGTGGCAATGCCATGCCCAAGGTCAGAAGGGTCCCAGGGGACTTCATTCCCACCAGGCCTGTGTTGCACGGGAATAAGCCTAGCACTTGGGTCCCCCGGGTGAAGAATGGTGCTGACCCCTAGGGCCAGGCAGAAGCCAGAGAGGCACAGGTCAGGTGTGAGGGAGCCAAGAACCCCAGAAACTGCCCTGCAGGCCTAGACTGCATGGCCAGGCCTGGAGAAGGGAAGGGAGTTCAGGTATCTCCCCCTTGCCCACCCACATGGGCCTTCACCTTTCACATCTTTGGTTTCCACAGAGCTCCTTCCCAGGAACTTCTCCTTCCAGTCACTGGACAGCAGCTTCTCGATGGCCGGCACAACTGGAGGATAGCAGAAGACTGAGAAGCAACCATCCTAACACCGCTCCACCCAGGCCCCCATCTCTAACTAGGGCAGATGTCTCACCTTCTTTTAAATTTCTGTTGAAGTCCAGCTTCTCCTGGCTTCCAGAAGCAGCCTCGGAACCTCCTGGTCTCCTGGGTTCTGGGGACTCACTGTTCTCCAGGGAGCTGCTGTCCTGCAAGACATACTGGGTGTCCCTGTCACCCTAAGAGAAGAGGGACAGGTGAGGGTGGCACTGAGCACCCCAAGGATGCTTGCCCTGGGGAACCCCAGAACCTACCCAGCTCCCAGCCTTCAGGAGGGCCCTCTCTCCCCACCTCCTGACCTTTGCTCTGACTTGGCTTAACAGATTTCGTGAAAAGAACAAAAGGTTTTAAGACAAGAGATCTGGGCTCACTGACTCACAATGTGCTTAATCCCATATGAGTCCCTGAACTTCTATGAACCTGACCTCCCTCTTCTGAAAATGGAAATACTTAAACCTCCTTTTGCCATAGGATTGTAGCTGGGATCAAAGGAGTTAATGCATGTGAATGAGGTTTGCCATTGCAGAGCCAAAGCCCAAAAGTCAGCTATTAATTATTACTCCCTTGCATGCACCTACCACTCCAGCCTGGCCAATTACTCTCAGGGTCCCCACTCCTACCCTCTTTCAGACATTGTTCCCTCTCTCCTCTTCTCACCTGAGTCTTCTCCATTCTTTAAGGCTCAGCTTAAAGTCTTACTCCTCCAGGAAGTCCTCCTTGATTCACTACCCCTACTTCTAGCCCCCTTTCACCTACTCCTGGCTGGATCCCTCCTCAGAGCCCTAAAACTCTCCTCATTTTCACTCATTTGGCTTTTGATTACATATTTCTTTTACATCTCTTAAATGGAATCATGGAATTTTTAAGAGCTGAAAGAATCATCACCACTCATATAGTTCAGCTCCTTCATTTTAAGGATGAGGAATTGTATTGCCTTTAATAGTGATTTAAACTCTGGTTTGGGTAATAAAGACTGATTTTCTCTAATCAGTAGTAGATTCAAAAGTAGTAGATTTCTACTACTAGACAAAGCTAGTAGATTAAGCTAGACTATAAACGTGTGTATCTTATTTCTCAACTAGTCCTCAAGGGTAAGGACCGGTCAGACATAGGTTAACAGTTAACATCAGGTGAGTGAGGGCAGGAGTGAGTCCATGTCCGGCCTGACCCACCCACCCACCTGTCTACCTGCCCCTCTCCCCTGCTAGGCTGTGGGTGCCTGCTCCATCCACTGGGGGAATGGGCACATGCACAGGAGCTGCAGAGGTGGGCTGGGGACCCTGACCCAGGAGCCCCAAGAGACTGCTGGGCACCTGGGCTGGAGCTTGCTGATCAGCACCATCCTGGGGGGGGCGGGCTGGGTTTCCAGGCGGCAGTTCATCTGCAGAGGCTGAGCCTTGGGGGGCCTCGTAACAAGCCTCCTTCTTTCCCTCTGCCTTGACAGTACAGTTCACCATGGTGCCAACTTCATCCAGGACCAGCTGGGCAGAGCCGGGGCTCCTCATAGACATCCTGAGGGAGGAGGGGCAGAGTCAGGGAGGGGGTCCTGAGCCCCCGGGGCAGTGACCGCTGTTCCAGCCCCAAACAGGTACACTCATGCAAAAGACATGCTCCACTTGGAACTCACTGACTGGAAAAGATTCTTGTTTCCACCACCCCCACCCCAACCTTTTTAAATAGAAAGGTCTAGAGGAGACTGGGCTGCCTTCTGTCGTACGCTGCCTGTTGCAGCGCTGGGACTAGTGGGCTGATGGGTTCCACCAAGAAGGCTAGAAACTTAAGTGGCTCTTTCTGAGCCCAGTAAAACCAAGATCATATATACAGTATGTGTCTGTGTATGTGTAAGAACATATTTGTAATTAGTTACCAAAATTTAAAAATCAAGAGATAGCACATAAAAATCTGGGCTTGAACTCTCCTGAAGCTAGTCTGTGGCAATAACCGGCTGGGGTTGAGTAGCAGTTACTCTTTATGAAGAGGCCAGATTGTTTCCCTCTCCACCACTCACCAGGGCTGCCCTTGGTGGCTCAGCTGGTAAAGAATCCACCTGCAATGCAGGAGACCTGGGTTCAATCCCTGGGTTGGGAAGTTCCCCTGGAGAAGGGAAAGGCTACCCACTCCAGTATTCTTGCCTGGAGAATCCCATGGACAAAGGAGCCTGGAGAGCTACAAGTGCATGGGGTCGCAGCGAGTCGGACACGACTGAGGGACTTTCACTTTCACACTCCCTCCTACTCCCCCAAACAGAAACCAAGTATTGACTACCCTATACACTTATTCTTTGTTTTCCTTATAGTCGAGGCAAGATAAAAGTGAACTATTTCCAACTATTCCTTGCATCCATCCATCTACCAAAAGTGAGGTGAGTTAAGTGACCTAACGGATGAGTAGCTTTCAGAGAAATATTTTCTTGTAACTGGTTAGAGTCTCTGAACTAGAGTCTGGCCCCCTCTGGGCCTCTGCAATCCCCGGTGTAACGAAAGCAGAGATCGAATCTCCTACTTCTGTTGCTGACACCATGCCGTGTGGGATCACCAAATAGCTGAGCTGGATCCTGGGAGTCGCTTTTGGTGGTCACGCCAGGCTCAAGGCCAGAGCAGCAGATGCCCTGCTCCCCCTCCAAAGTCACAGAGACAAGCCCAGCTGGGACACACAGCAGGTTCCAAGAAGGCCTGGGTCTTGGCTCAGCTACTCCACGAGCTGCTGAGTAATCTTGGGTAAGTTACTTAACCTTCCCATACTGTTTTCTCATCTGTAAAATGGACAGTGTGAAGTGATGAATTGATATTTACAAGGTGTTCAGAAGAGCGCTCCGTGCCTTTGTTAAAGCACAGCCGGCTGGAATGCAGCGCAGGACGCAGCCGGCATAGCCTGGGGGCTTGTTTGAAAGGTGAAGTCAGGGGTCAGGCACAAATCAGGATTTCTGTGGGTGAGGCCATGAATCTGTTTTAACAAGCCCTCCTGGTGATTCTGATACATAGTAGTTTGAAAAGCTTTGTTAATAAAACTTAAAAAAAATTTTTGTTTACACGGGCATTACATTTTTAGGAGGGGAATGTAAGGCAAGAATTATATATAGTAAAACATCCTTCAAATTAAACTGCAGGTGAAGTATATTTGTATATTACATCACCTCTGTATAACAAAATACTTCTTATAAGGGATGATGCGATGTGCTACACACGATAGATGCACACAACTGTATACATGCACAGAATTTCATATGAAATGACTGAAAGCATTCCAGTCGAATAAGGTGTATCTGCTCGGTTTGATGCCATTCTGCAGACTAGACCAGACCAGACTGTCCTGCCACTTTCAAAGGGCAAGGTGCCCTGGGGGCTTGGTGTGGGGTCCGGGAGGGGCACTGCAGGGTGAGGAGAGAGGAGAGGAGAAGAGACCCCCGCGCGGCCCAGCCCGGCTCTGGGGTGCGCCCGGGTCCCGCCCCGCGCGGGCGGGCCAGCAGCCAGGAAGCCGGCGCGCGGCCCACCCGGGCGGGGAGGGGCGCGGGGGCGGGGGCCGCGGGGGAGGGGCGCGATCCTGAAGCCGAGGGCCGCAATTACATAACAAACAACCCGGGGCTCAAGCTGTGAATTAATCAAACCGCTGAAAATAAAACCTTCCTCTCAGGAACTTCAGACAAAAGAAATGAAAACAACCAGGCTGGCTGGAAAATAAAAGACAGCGGCGCTGAAAGGGGGACAAAAGGAAATCAGACAATAGGGTGTTGGACAAAGGCAATAAAGCCAAAGGAAGTGTGACGGGCGAACAATGCAGGGCCGCGGGCTTCTGATCCCCGGCCGGCTCCGCGCCCCGCGCGCCCCGCCCGGGCCGAGGTCCAGGGGCTTTCTCCTCCGGGCACCCTCAGGGCGCTCCCCACGCGGCCCAGCGCCCCGGCGGCACCCGGGGGGCCCCCAGCGCCCGCCGCCCCCGAGAGCTCGGTGCCGCTGTGCCCCCCACCCCGCGCCCCGCCGCTGAAGGCCGAGGCGGAGGAGGCGATGCTCGGTCCTAGAGAACCCCAGGGCCGCAAGGCCCGGTACCCCAGCCACCCCCTTGCTGAACACCTGAACCGCGGCTGGTCCCAGTGGAAACGTGCAGAGTACAAATTACACCCCCGTTTTGGAAGCATTAGGAAGAAAACATAATGTAAAACAGCTCATTAATGATTGGTTATTGATTACTCGTTGAAATTGTAATAGTTTGGACATTTTGGGGTTAAATAAAACATATCGTTAAAATTTGTTTCACCTGTTTCTTTTCGCACTTCTTATTGTAGCTAAACGTGTGTAAGTGTGGCTCACATTATATTTCTGTTGGACCGTGCGGCACTAAGACATCTCTTCCCTTTGACCCCGATGGCCTTTTCTACCCACTCCTAACTCCTAAGAGAACACCCAACTGGGTACTGAGATTAGCTTTATTTTGGGGGGGCTCCCAACAGTGCATCCCAGCTTCTGACACAGCGCCTGCTAACAAAGCAAATGGCTCTTGGAGACCAGTCAAGCTAGCTTGAAGGTGTCAGTCTGGTCACCAGGGTGAGGCACGCCCTCAGATAACCTGCCAGATCCTGCTAGCAGCCCAGAAAAGGGCCCTCCATTCCCACAGGCGTCTGTCTCCACTGCAGGCACTGGCCCTGGCTCTCCATTGGTCCCCTCCCTGGATTCATTGGTTTATGGAGACGCAATAGCCCAGGGTTGATGCAGAGTGCAGCCTTTAGGGTTTAACAATCTGGATTCAAATCTCTGCCCTGCCACCAACTGACTTGTGTTACCTTGGGAAACTAATGAACTCTGAGCCTCCACCTCCTAACCCATATAATGGGTATAATAATCCATCTCTCACAGGTGTCCTTGGAAATTAAAAATACAGGGTGAGCATCCATTAGGTTGCCATATAGCCCAGGAAGCTCCTAGAGCCAGGTGGTTGAGAGAGAAGTCTCTGGGTCAGAAGATCTGAGTCCATTTGAATCCTAACTTTGCTTAATTGATTGCTGTGTACCATGGGCAACTGACATAACCTCTCTAAATCTCAATTTCCTCTTCAGTGAAATGGAAATAAAACTCCCAATATGAAGAGATTGAAGTGAAAGTCACTCAGTTGTGTCTGACTTTGCAACCCCGGAAGGGATGGCAGAGCAGGAATGCTGTTCCATGTTGCAACCCCATGGACTGTAGTCCATGGAATTCTCCAGGCCAGAATACTGGAGCTGGTAGCCTTTCCCTTCTTCAGGGGACCTTCCCAACCCAGAGATCGAACCTAGGTCTCCTGCATTGCAGGCAGATTCTTTACCAGCTGCGCCACAGGGAAGACCAAAGATGAAGACATTAGCCTTCCATTAACACTTCAGACCCTACAAGATGTGCCTGTTTTACATTCTCTTGGCACCCTGAACTTGCAACTTCAAAGTACTTTTCACAATTGGTAATGATACCTTCACATGTTTTATTTCTGACTGGCCCAGTAGCCTGAGAACCCATCCAACCCCACACTGTGAAAATAAGCTTAGTTTTGCTCATCAGTATAGCCCCAGAGTCTAGCACAGTGCCTGGTACATACAGTGCTCAATAAACATTTGTACAACACTCAGAGAGTATAATATAGTTCAGAAGCATAGGACAAGGCAGATCTGAATGCCTAAGTGACAACTATTATAATCATCATTAGATGGATGTTGCTCTCTGGGGCTAATTTCCCACACCCCCACCTCCCAAACCCAGTTATCCTCAGCTGCATCTGCCTTGCATCTAAGCTCTTCCTATGAATGACCCAAATCGCCCAGTAGCAAGGCAAATCCATTTCCTTTTGTTCCTACCTTGGGACAGTAAGAAACATTTTCCAAAGTTTATGAATTTATAAAGACCCTGTGGAGTGTTCCCTTAAGTCTTTTCCAGAGATTAAAAAAAAAAATTCTCTTATTACCCCTTCCCTACAAAGCATGCTGCATGCTTCAATCATATATACATGATTTTCCAGGAGGTTTTAAGGTCAGCAGTCACATCCTCCCCTCTCCCCAGATGCCCAGAAGTCAGACTCTTCTGGTGCTCAAGAGATGTGGATTACGGGCCTCCCCCAGTTCCCACCCAGGTCCTGGTCAGAGGCCACGCTGGTGGGGCTCTCACTTGGGTAGAAGCGCTTCCATGTACCCAGTCTCCTCCCTCTTGCCCAGTCTTACTCATATTTTATAAACAGAGAAACTGAGGCCCAGAAAGGTCAGGTTCACCTGGCTTGTTTGGGGGTACTGATTTAGGAATAGAGTCAGAGGACCTTCAGCCAGCTGGGGCACGGAGCAGTGTTCCTGCTCTGCCTTCCCTTCCCTTCCGGGAAACCCACCCCACAGGCCCTCCGCCGCCTTCTCCTGGGTTTAACCTCACCTGAGCATCTTGAGAAGTGAAGGCCCCTAGGGGAGAGGGCTCCAGCCAGCCCCACCCTGGATGCCGCAGAGTCTTGAGTCTCTGAGCCGACTGCAACCAAGCAGACTCCAGGTGCTAAGCTCCTTTTTCTCCTGCCTACAG